TCAACGAAATCACTCATGTATTTTCATTTTTTCTTTTTGTATTCATTTTTTTTTGTAAAAATCAAGATTGTTGACATTGTTATAATACAGAAAATAAACGTTTGTTTATAAGTAATTCAAGCCTAGCGGATAATGTATGCAAGTATCCGTTATAGAACCATATTAACTGTCAAAACTGTCGAAACTTTAGAAATGGAAGACAAAATAAAAGAAAATTTACGGGTCAAGGCTTGCTCAAAAGACACGAACTGCCAAATTAAAGATGTCTCGAAATTCAACTCCAGCTCGAAAGTCGGCTTTTGAAAATTTAGAATTTCGATCTTTGACCTGGCTCGAAATTCAACTCCAGCTCGAAATGCGGCTTTTGAAAATTTTGAATCGCGATCTTCGAGCTTACTCGAAATTCAACGTCAGCTCGAAATTCAGCTTTGGTTTACTTTGAAGTTCAAAGCAAGCTCGATATTCACTATAAACTGAATTTCGATATTCGATTTCAGTGCTAACTTCTCGATACTTGTGCTTTTACATGTAAGTTGGAAGCGCATGTCCGATATAATTATGATGCGGTTGCTAGTTGGATTAAAATGTCTGACTGAATGTTTTTGTCTAATTTCAAACTTCATCTATCAATAAATAAATTTGAATACATACCTTTTAGCAATAAATCCAATTTTTTTAAATACTTGTTCACAAAATGTCGTCCTCAGGAAGTAAATATTTCACGTATCATTTAGTGTATCAAATCGTGGTTTGCTTAGTTTTTAAACATTTGATACTGTGATCCGTAATCTTCTAAACAAATACAGATAAATTGTATGTGTGATCATACCTGTTTAGCTGTTTTATCTAAAGTTGCATATCAACTTGGACATTTTTATCAAATTGTAAGATTAATTTGGATTCATTCTGAAGTACTTCCTTTTAAAATTTAGTAAAGTTATCTGTAACGAGTAAAAGATCATCACATTTTTGCTGTGTGTTTTTTTTTAAATATTAGCATGCCGGGTTTATCAATGCTTTTATAAATATTTATTTCAGCAACTTTCCTTCAAAATCAAATTGAGTGTAACAAAAATAATGTTAAAAATCACAGTGACAATAAGACATGATATTCCCTTGCAAGGTTCACATTGTAGGTGCCATCTACATGTTTTTCTCTCCATGTTTTTGTTGTTGTTGTTAATTTTCTTTTTAAAATAGTCCTAATGAGAAAAAAGGTAATTATTCACTATTGTTGGTATCAACCTTTGCGTACAAAATAAAATATAAGCTTTGAATTAGCGCCTAGATATGTGTTAGTTAATTTATACTTTCCTGAAAATAAAGGCATTCTAAAGTATGCATTTATATAAATGCAAAATTAAAGATACGTTGGGTTTTACGTCGCACGAATTCTGTAAAGGACTTATGATGAATTTCCTGTTTTATAGCGGAGGGATACCTGAGGTGAATTTAAATACCAGCGCCTCAACACAAAGCTGTCTGCTTTCGTTAACGATTCATTTGTTGTTGTTTTTTTTAATTAAAGTGTGAATATGGTTTTCATAGTTTTGATTTTTTTAGTACAAATGTTACATATATGACAATAGTTGCAGGTTAAGGTTAAACTTTGCAACCTTTTTGAGTAGCGTCCTAAAACTTGGCATACAAAACATTGCCAATATTTTAGATGAGATTCCGTTCATTTTATTCCTGGACCAGTAGTTTCAGCCATTTTGTATAGATGACATAAAAGTTAACCACCAAAGCCCATTCTGGAACAAGGCATCGCTGCATACCCTTAACAATGGTTATGGGTACTGCCACTGGCAAACATTTTTTTTTAATTCTGCAGTATTTGACAGAAATTATTTTCTCCTTAATGCTGATATAAATGTATCTTTTTACGCCGACAAATACGCATTTTTTTCCTTTTTATTCCAAGTTCATATATTACTAAAATACGAAATATTTTCAAATACGGATTCTGTATATGAAAATGTATATCAGAATTGCCCACTTTCTACAAGAGGGTGTGAATAGTAATTAAATAACAGATGGGGTTGTGGGTAACAGTACATATAGAGCACAATGGTTAGTAAGTAAAAGTAAAAATATCATCCCGACGAAAACAGTGTTACCCACAGCAATAGCCGAGGGTAACAATCTTTTCTCGAAGGATGCTATTTTTACTGTGACTCACAAACCTATCTGTTATTTTCTCTATTACCCCTAGCAAATACTGTGATGAACTTAATCTAACTGTAACAAAACTGAACCAAGAATAATTATAACTCAACAGTGCTAACCTTACAATTTGTAAGTGCACTTGAAAAGTTGTTTTTCTTTTATCCTTTAAGCCTTTGATGATATAGGTGAAACACGATAATGTTTGCATACGATATAATAGGTTGTTTTGCATTTTTATTGCTATATAGAATAATAAAAGTGGATATAGACACGAAAATCCGAGTAGCATAGTGGTTAGAGAGTTCAGGTTATGAAGATCTCAGTTTATGAACATGCCTTTTCGAGTTCAAATCTGCAAGTGTGCACATGTTTAAGTATGGGTTTGTTTTTTCAGAAGTACTTTTTTCATAGTGTGTCACGTAACTTTTTATTTTCTCTTTTATAATGTTAGTGGTTTATGAGGAGATGTCATTTAAAGTAAAAATTTACGGACGGACGGACGCCGGACGGACACCGGACGAAAAGCGATCACAAAAGCTCACCCTGTCACTTTGTGACAGATGAGCTAAAAAACGGAATCCCTAAAGAACGTCCTAAAACGTCAAAATTTAAAATGCTAGAAGGCCTAGTTTGATAGAACTTGTTCATGGACGGTATTTGAAATACCGCTTAAAGAAGAGAAAAACATTTTATTGGGATTTTACATATTAAGTTGATCATCTTAATACATAAACATAAGCGAAAAAAATGTCACCTCTGTAAAAGAAATAGAAGCGTCTAATCATACATTTTACATTATTATAAATACATATCACAAAAAGGTAAGGTAAAACGTATAACAACATTTGAAAAGGAATTTCAGATTACAAATGCCTCTTTTTATATATTTGCACAATATAACGATATCGTGTGTACACATGTATTTTGAAAAAGTAAACAATGCATGCAATATAAACACACATGAGGTGGCATAATAAAACCGTTTAATGTTTTTTTCTCTAATCTGTAAGTAAACAATGACATATACAAAGTAACAATAACGCTGTTTTCTTGGTAAATTTTAATCGCATATTTTCATGTTTGTATTCTGAAAGGTTGTAATGAAATTGTAAGTTTAACAAAATGTGTATGTAATTTCTTCGATGATGCGTTTTTTTTTTATATTCATTTGAATATTTTATATATTCTATACATATTCAAAACAGAACTTATGTTGATATCCCAAAACTATTCTATGCTAGAAAGTATTTATGTACATATAAATTTAAAAGAGCGGCAATCCAGACCCCCACGGTTCGGGTCCCGGCTGCGGCTTGCCGATTTTTTATGTGACTTTTCTGTGTATATGTTCCCGCTTATATTCATCAATGGGAGCTAGTATCCTTATAAAATTATAAATGTGTTGCTATAAGATGTATATAATATGAAACAAGAGGGCCATGATGGCCCTGAGATCGCTCACCTGTATAAAGCCCCCGGAGCGGGGCCAGTTTAAACCCCAGGGCTTTTATTTGAACAAACTTGAAAGACACTCATTAGAAGATGTTTCATGATGTTAAGTTTGTTAAAATTTTACTACACACATATAAACACACATATAATGAAAAACAATGATCTCCCCATCCCCCTCCAGCAGGGCCAATTTACACCAGAGGGCTTATATTTGAACAAACTTGGTAGACGCCCATAAGAAGATGTTTCATGCTAAACATCTAAGCTCTAGCTCATTCGGATTTTTAAAAGAAGTTATTTTAAGTTTTTACTATACACATATAGTTAAAAACAATGACACTCTGGGGCGGGGCCAGTTTTGACCCCATGGCTTTTATTTGAACAAACTTTGTAGGCACTTACTTGAAGATGTTTCATGCTTAATATCTAAACTCTAGCTATTTTGGTTTTTTCAAAGAAGATTTTTAAGTTTTTGCTATACACATATAAGGAAAATCAATGACCCCAGGGGCGGGGCCAATTTTGACCCCAGGGCTTTTATTTGGACAAACTTTGTAGACACTATCTAGAACATGTTTCATGCTTAATATCTTAACTCTAGCTATTTGGGTTTTTTCAAAGAAGATTTTTAAATTTTTGCTATACACATATAGGGAAAATCAATGACCCCCGGGGCGGGGCCAATTTTGACCTCAGGGCTTTTATTTGAACAAACTTGGTAGACACCCATTAGAACATGTTGCATGCTAAATATCTTAGCTCTAGCTCTTTGTGTTCTTTAAAAGAAGATTTTTTAGGTTTTTACTATATGCATATAGGGAAAATCAATGACCCCCTGGGGCGGGGCCAACTTTGACCCCAGGGCTTACATTTGAACAAACTTGGTAGACACTCATTAGAAGATGTGTCATGCTGAATATCTTAGCTCTAGCTCTTTGGGCTCTTTAAAAGAAGATTTTTTAAGTTTTTGCTATATGCATATAGGGAAAATCAATGACCCCCTGGGGCGGGGCCAATTTTGACCCCAGGGATTTTATTTGAACAAACTTGGTAGATACTCACTAGCTCTTAGGGTTTTTTAAAAGAAGATATTTAAAGTTTTTTCTTTCGGTTGCCATGGCAACCAGAGTTCTGCATGGAATTAAATTTTTTGAACAATTTGTAAAGGTGATCACCAAAGGAACATTCCTGTGAAGTTTGGATGAAATTGGCCTAGTGGTTTATGAGGAGATGTCATTTAAAGTAAAAGTTTACGGACAGACGACGGACGGACGCCGGACGAAAAGCGATCACAAAAGCTCACCCTGTCACTTTGTGACAGGTGAGCTAAAAAACTGTAACAACTGATTCAGCCAATAGCGAAAAAAGTCGTCATAAGTAGCTCTTAAAGTGATGACGTCACAATTTAGTTAAGAATAACTTTTGATATATGAACTCATTTAGGGCGGAGAAAAGCAACGGCCGCTGTGGTAGTAGTAAGCATACTGGACCGCAATACAGAGCCTCGTGGTTCGAATCCCGACTGCTGCGTACACATCTTGTGTGTGTTTACGACATAACTCTAAGTACATAAGTTAACACAAACAACATTCACAAGATACGTAAATAAACCACAAGCGTTCTTAAAAAAGCCTTTTAAAAATGTTTTTAATAATCAAACCGATAAACGTGCGTTTTATTTGAACTAATCATTGTCATTTCCATCTCATGTTATCTTTTTGAACTTATTTTTAAACTTAAACTTTCTTTCGTATTATGTAAAGAGGTTGTCTAAATTAAAAGCTTCCAGTCGATGAAGAACTAATAACAAAAAAATGTAAACTGTTTTGAATTCGAAACTAAGCACAAATCATTTGTTATTATGTAAGGTATCATTTTGTGTCATCTCGTCAGCTTAAAAAACATTGTTGTCACACAAAACAAACAAATATATTAATCTATTTCTTTCATTATTAATATTAGTATTAATCAAATATTGATAAAAATAAGAATGTATGATTTAAATATTCCCTTAGAATATTTTTTACACAATAAAGTGTAAGTGATTTTGTAAAGCATTTATATAATAAAACATGATAATTTGTTTAAGAAAGATTTATCATCTACTCTATACATCCGTACATATAATTCTTCCCTTGTTTTTTGTCAAACACACTCTAAATACTAAATTCTGTCAACTTTACGGTTGAACATACTTTAATTATGGACAAACAAAATCACAATGTAATAAGAACATATATGTAATATCTAAATGTTTGAATCTGTGATTGAAATGTCATAATCCTGTAACACGCACATTATCTTCTTCGTTCTGTTGGTCTTGATTATCTGCAACATATAAACATTTAATAACACATATAACTTTTGTCAACAATAAATCAAATAATTTCTGTAAGTATTTGAATTGAGTTGATGTGTAGTAATTTGCAACTCGTTTCAGATAGAAATATTAGTTAATGTCAATATTCTTTCAATATACACGTACACATTTAATGCGATATTAATGTGATATAAAGAAACTATCTAGCTTATTATTTACAACACTTTGTCCTAGACATCACATGGCGGAGTACTTGACTCAATATTATTTTCACAAGTGAATGCTTAAATGACATATTACGGCACTTTTATGTCGATGTTATTTTATAGAAACAAAATTTTAATAACAGCATATATATTTTTAAAGAGTTGATTTGTTGTTGTTTCTTAATCAACTCTACACAGATTATTTGCAATTATTCAAGTTAACATTTTTCAGTTTATGTTTTGTTACTTGAATGATTGTTTTTGTTACCGTGTGAAATGTCAATTGTATCGTAAGTTGTCTCATCATCTACTTGTGCCATATTGCGATGGATTGTTTTGTAGTAGTTTTCACTTTCATTCCTGTTAATTATAAAAACAATTCTTTTTTTAACATACATAACGAAATCTTTAATTAAGGGGAGGTCTCAAATCCGATATCTAGATTAATGTATTACAGAATTGTTTAGGTTTACAAACTGTAGTGAAACTCCCTCATTTTAAAATTAAAGAGGGATTCCCTACAGAACAGCTCAAAGAATAATTTAAAAGTAAAAATAGAAGACGAAGTCTGATTGTGATATTAAATAACAAGAACAACGTGTCAATCCTAGCAGCGAATAAGCTGAATTCTATGTTTTATTTTGCGAAATATACTTATATGCAGGTACTAATAATCAAATATTATACAAATATGGACTTTTTAGCTGTTGAATATGATGTGATATGTACTGAAAAAGTAATATTGACCGGGGTTTTTAATTTTTCAGTACATATCACATCATATTCAACAGCTAAAAAGTCCATATCTGTTTTATTATATAATTTATTAATAGCTTTTATATGACTTATCAAATTTGCCATTGCATACGACGGAAATCATTACTTCTCAGCTTGTCTACTTTTTCCATAACGTGGCCCTTTCTTTTAAGTGAGCGCATTGGCACGCTAATTCGTATTGTTCTTTAAATTGTTAAAACGGTAACTAAAATAGACTAATTTGACTCTTATTTGCGAGTGACTCAACGTTTTTTTTCTGGATAATAACAACAAACTTGGCGTGACGTCACCTCATAGTCTCGCGTCATTCAAGGGATTGCCAGCAAAATATATTTTTAGAAGAAAAAAACGGTGAATATACCCTAAAAATCTATTTTAAGGAAAAAACAGTGAATATACTCTGATATTAACTTTTATCTTTTACAAAAAAAAATGCTTTAGCCAATCAGGGAAAGGCATTTCACAGCTATTTATATATTATATAATAAATTCACTTATTTTTACAAAAAAAAAGAGAAAGAAATATACCGTTTGACTCGTTGCAGCCTTCGTTTATATTAGAACAACCAACAACAACAAAATGCCAATCGCTACAACACCGCCAGCAACTGAGCCTCCGATAACTGCAGCAGATGAATGATCCGCTGTCTTAGCTTCTTCTATACCCTCTGAGTAGATAAGATAAAAGATCATTTACCTACACTGAAGAAAAGAGTAAGTTTGAGTCATTGCAAACTCTCTCTATCCATACTACGAAGCTGTCTGCCAATTCTTAGATTAATATGAATAATTAAAGTAAACAAGTACATTTGTTGCTAACTAGAGATAACTGAATTAAGACCTCACAAGAAGAAATGTGGCAAACATATATAATATGTATCATATAACTATATAGAATGAATTGCGTTGAAATCAAATAAGGTCACCAGTTTTGGCCGATCAGTAGATGTATATGAAGTAAGGTGGATTCTTTATTCCTCTCTGTTTTATGAATCAGTGAGATGGTTTTGTTAAAGATGCATATTACTTACCTATGTTACAATGTACACCACGATATCCATATCTGCATTTACTAGGACAAATACCATAATCGCTGGTACAAGTGCCCTCTTCGCAATAACACACTTGCTTGCATTCTTCACCGAACGTGTTCTTAGTACAGCCTTGGAAGGTGAACACAAATGTATATTAAATCAATACGTGTAATGCCTCAAAATGATAGACGGATACAATTCTATATAGAATTGTACATTTTAGTTGATTGATTGATTAAAAAAAATTAATAAAACAAGTTTGATAACTTTTGTTAAACAACATAAACATTATTACAATGAAATAATTTTCTGTTCATTTGTTGACATAATACTTTGTTGTCTGTTTAAATGTGTTTTCTTTTCTCTATATAAAACTTCATTAACCAAGTAATCCCCAGAACAGGGCAAATATTATACCAAAAGTCATGATTAATGCAAGTTATGCAGTGGTGCATATGGCGATGTTACATGCAAAATATTTAAGTTCCGGACATTGCAGTTTCACATCATAAGTCCTAAATGTTTTTTTTTTTATTTTCATTGTAAGTCTATAGAAATCGAATGCCCCCCCCCCCCCGGATATTGCCAATATTGAACCCAGAAGCATTATTCATATCGGTTTTATAAAGTTAAATAAGAGAATGCTAGCATTGTAGCTTTACACAATGAGACTTATGTTAAAACAATCCAGTTTTCCCCATGACATGACCAATTTTGATCGCAGAAAGCTCAAACCTATATTCGGCACATTGTTCAATCATAGTTAATATTTTTGCCAAGTAGTTTCAATGTCCTCCCATCGGTTCAAAAGATAAATAACGAACACGACATTGCTAGCAGACAGACGAAGACTAGGTATAATAATATACGCCGAAATGTTTTAGGTGTATTAAAATATAGAACAATATAATAACCATAGTAGGACGTCAACTTTGAGAATTGTATATATTATATTTCTGGTTGATCTATAAAGTTTCGGGCTAAATATTTTCGCAAAATTGACATTTTTGCCTTTTTTGTGTTTCATTATAGGATTTGATTGTTTATCCTTTCTAAAATTATCTTATTTAACATATTTTGTTGTATGTAAATGCATTTTATAGCATTACATTTTATTTATGTTGTATTTTTAATTAATTCTGTTCTACACGATAAATAGATTTCGTAGCCAATTTGTCGTTACTGTGGTAATTCATGGCGTATTTACGGCAATATCTAACAAGCCGATGCATTTACCCATTGAAATACATACATGTACACACATTGCTTTAATTAAAAGTAAGTTTCCTCGATATATGTGTGCACTGAGCTAATAATTGTTCAACGTACTACGCAGGAGAATAATTATTATCACTTATATTTAGTTTTGTAAAGTAAAATGTAATTCAAGTGTACCATGTGACTAATTATATTGTACTGTTATATAGGTAATAAACCCAATATTGTCCCAATCAAGTATTTGTTCGGGGTATAAAATAATCAAATAAAATAGAGAAAAACAGAATCCCTAAAGAAAAGTCCAACACAACAAAATTGAAAATGTTGCAGGCTCGGTTTGATTGAGCCTGTTCATGGACGGTACTGGAAAGTGCAAGTTACTTTAGTGCAAGAATCTTTGGGGATTCTTATTTCTCTCTATTTTACCGTCCACGCCCCCTAGCACCGGCTTAAGCAGAATTCAACATTTAACACGGAAATGGTGAAATTTTGAATTTAGAAACATCCGCATATGTTTTCAAACGGTGGTTATCATGGAACCTTCAAAGTGACACAGTAGTGCCATTTCATGAAAAGCGGCATATGGTCAACACATACATGTAGGTTTGTGAGTAACAGCAAAACTAATATCCCTCGTATATATACTGTGTCTCGAGGCGGATTTTTCTCGGGATGATACTTTTACTATTTCTCACGAACCTATATGTTGTTTATATAATAGAACAGGCAAAAAATGGTATTACAAAATAATAAACCTACTTATGTATTGCAAATAATTTACTTTTCGTGTAAAATTGAAATAAAAATAAAGGATAACTTGCAAAAATCAAGAAAATGATTAGTCTAATGATTATACAGAGATCTAAAACTTAAATGCAAATCTACTGTTATATTATTATATTATTTTAGACGTGTCTTTCCTTCTCTGGTTACTGCATGCGTCTATTATGGCATTTTGAACGGTGAGATAATGAATTTTAAGGTAGAAGAAAAGTTATATAGCTAATATTCAACATTTTCATAAACTACCGGAGTAAAGTATTAAAGAATTTGCTTCATTATATCGGTTGCCGTCTGATTTATGCGGAAATATACTCGTACTTCCGATGGTATTTTAATACCATTGACAAACTAAGGGTCATGATTATCACATTCTTGGCTCTTTAATTAACTTCACATCTATATATAGTGGTGTACGAAATAAAATGAAGGTATATCAATGAATGTATAAAATTGTCCTTAATCAATACGTTGTATTTTGCAAAATTCAAAAAACCAAATTGTACTGTATTTTTATATTTACTTTCATTACATGACTTCCCATCCAACCAAGTTTACAAATTGGTGATTGACAGTAACCATGTATTGTCTGGCCAGGGCTTATTATCAGCACAGTGACAGTCTTGCACACATTCCTCTTCAAATGCCATCTTTGCAATCTGTAAGTAAGCATTGCTATCTTTAATATGTATGTCTTATGTTTACGCAATAAACTCTTTCATGAAAGTGCGTTGGAAATGCCGGTTGTTAGACACAAATAAAAAGTTTAAATTGTACATAATCAACATATACATAAACATTTGCTATATTGTATAATGCCCTAATGAATGTAATATTATCGGTAAAAAATACAACCAAAAAAATACCAACTTTTCAAAATAATTTGCACAAATAATTAAAGAAAAGTATAATCTTAAAACTCTAAGCTGAGCATCCATGAAACCATGTAATCAGTCTCTATACAATCGAGTCGATTGAAAAATCAGGATCGGCGTAAACCCATTTTAACAATTAATACAAATATATTGAAAAAGCACTAAGTTTATTGAAATTTACGCGCTGATGAAGGTTTGGACCTACTGATTCAAATCAATAAAAATTAAAACTGCATGTAGGATTCACGCCTCTCAATAACTTCTGCAAAACTATGTTACATAAAAACATTATATGTCGAAAAATTAGAATTATATTGTTAGGTATCAACAAATCAAATACTTACTTCCTTCTATAACAATAACTTCACAAAGAGTTTAAAACGGCCGCGGTCTTCTATCTTATATATCTTGCTAAAGTATTATTAATGTTTGCTCATACTATTTCTCCGAACGTATGAAGGAAGTCATAGACAAAATAAATCAGGTTAATCATTCGACTGCGTGTATTAATAGAAGAAGCTTAAGCCGTTAGTTGGAACGGAAATCCTCTGAAAGAAAAATGCATTTAAATGTCTTTCATATCACATGAAAGTATATAAAATTATTATATGATTATTTCTTTTTCAATTTCAAGGCTTGTTAATCTAACAAAAGCAGGACAACTATCTATTGATACTCTGCTCAATAATACATAATTGATTTATGTCCTATAATATCCCAAAATTCAGTAATCTTTGACGTAAGACATCAATTTTACACATAAGCAAGACAATTGAATACACACGTAACTGTGGTATAGTATGCGAAGTATTAATTTAGAATATAATTTCGAAAACTGTATATCATGCCGAGGTATCAACCATCCGGTGTGCTTCCTAACGCATACAAATAAATGACTTCTTTCAAGCGGCGAGTATCTCAGTCTGTAACTATATCTAACATATACCATCTATAGGATAAGGCAAGCGAGCATAAGAAATATGGAGTAACTATCATATCTATGACAGCACTAAACCGGTCAAGTGCATCACAGACCATTCAACTCAACAAATAAATTATCTGCTCTGAGCGAACTATCATAGACACGTACATCTAGTGTTCTAATCCATGAATCTAGCTCTATGCACTCCTACATCATAATTATACCTCTGCATCAAAATCGAACGATAGCACAAAAATTGAAAGAAGAAGTATAAAGAATCAATAACTTCATCATCATGAGACACATCTTAATTTGATCCTAAGTAGTATAGTATCTAATAATGATAAATAAGTAAGTACCAACGACTAGTACTATAATACTAAAAGCCTCTGATAATAGTAATAATATTAGATAAAAGAAAATTAATAATGAATAATATAAAGTCACTCATACAAAAAGAGACGATGAGATATACTCTATAAATATACATGACTATTCGCAATCTAGGCATAAGTTGGTCATTTTGTAGAGACTTTATCGATACAATCACAAGCTAACAAGTACTAACGCTGTCATCTAACATTATAAAGGTATCATACATACCGAGAGAGAGCACTCAGTAAGACACAGGTGTTGTATATAGTACTTCATGTACAATATAGCTGCGCTTATACATGTTCGAAAAGCAGCTTCTATCGAGTATTTTGAGCCTATAACATACAACAATATTACTAAGCGTATAATAACACCCTAAATATAGCAATTAATATGATAAAGATAGAAAGACCGGGCGTTATTTAACTCATAACTAAGAAGATAGCTAATTCGATAATATAATGGTATTAGCAGATAGTAAAAGGT